AGGTATTGGCTTGGAAAACCCTTGCTGACCACCCCTTATGGTGGAAACCAAAAAAGGTGGGCGGCCTACCAGGAAACCTGGTCGGCCGACCACTTTCTGCCTCTGGGACTCTGGTTTTTCTGCAACAAAGGCAAGAAGGAGAGAAAGCAAGGTATTTTCAACATATGTGTGCGTGACCACTCCTCCCCGTCCTTGCACAAGCTCTAGGGAGTGTGGCCCTCGGTCCTCGGGCCATCAACCATGCATCTCAAGGCATGATGGCCGAGGAGTCGAATTGCACGTTTTGATGTGACATGAATGCACAAATACACACTTAAGGCCTAAACTCCATCATGGGAAATCCGGAATGTTGACGACTGAGAATCGAGGCACGTTTCGTCACTTGGAGTACGAAACGTCCCTCGTTTCTCGTGCTTGGACTAAACCCTACTCCAAGAACAATGCAATAAGCAATGCATGGCACGTGCAAATGCAACTAGCATGCAATCCTAAGTGTAATGCAACCAAGTGATGCAAGCATGCAAGGGATAAAATGCAAACATGCACCTAGCATATACAATGCTAACACTACATGGCATGCGCAATGCTCGTGAACTATGGCATACTCAATGCGACTATCAACCTAGCATACACAATGCGAGGAATGACATATCATGGCATGCACAATGCTCCTAACAACCTAGCATACGCAATGCAAAGGCTAAACATGAAATAACATGAACTACATGGCATGCTCGATGCAAGATGGACTTATACCAATGTGAGTGGACCTCAGCCACACTCACATCAGTGGCCATGTGATGAAAATGAGAGAATTGAAATGCATGCACACATGCACGAATGCCAAGGACCGAACCTAAGGCATGAAATACCACTCTACCAAAGCATGGCAAGGGATGAAAGATGGTATACAAACATGCAATTTACAGCTCTGAAATATGATGCTCAATGGTCCCGAATTATGCAAACATGGCATACAATGCAAGCTGGGGAGGGCGGGTACCGAAACTAGTGAAGTGCGTTACACTAGAGGTACCCAAAGCAATGCACCAAAGGAAAAACCAACCCCAAACAGACCCTAGGCAGGTCTGAAATAGTGGGCCCTAGGCAGGTCTGAAACAGTGGAAAATTGGCCTAAAATGATGGCTCAACAAGCATGAAAATGAAGCTCATTCAATGGTCGGTAAACAAGGCATTCAAGCCCGATTCTCAAGCACACTTAAAGAGATGAAAACATGGCAATATGGCATTCATATAGGCTCTGAAATGTGATGTAAAATGGCCTCAAAACATGAACACACCTCAGCACATGCATGCAATGGACCTCAAATCTCAAAGTTAAGCATGGGTATTGAACTACAAGCATGCAAAACAAGCATCATTCAATCATGAGACCCAAAAGCTAGGACAGTCTAAAATAAGCACAATATCAGTTTATGACATGGCCAAAAAGTGCTAAAATCAAGGGCCCACAAAGCATGCAAAGAAAGCTAGTGAACCATGAGTTGTTCTACAACTATATGAAGCATATGAAAACTCATTAAACCAGCCAAAAATAGATGTATGCCATGCCAAAATATGCCCCAATAACCACTGAAACTCAGTTAATACATGCAAAAATAACGAGCTCTTTTGGAAAGCCATGCAAGGGGTTGTTCTACACATACATGATAGACAAACAAAAGGGCAAAAACACCTCTGGAAATGAGTTATGACAGCCCTAAAACTCACC